GTCAACACTGAGTTTTTCAGCTGTCCAGTTGCTCAGGAACTGGCTGCAGTCACTGGTTTGGATCAATACATAACCATCCAAAGTCATAAGGAACTCCACGTTATCTCCCTCGGTGGAACAGTTGACCTGCATCTGTTTTTCTGAAAAACATGTCTGAGACACAACTGGCCTTGACACTGGACCTGAAAGACACATAGCCATATATGAACTACATACATCAATTAAAAGATTAGAACAATTAAGGACCAAAGCAAAGTAAGTCAAAGTAATCATTCAGTTTTTTTTAATCAGAAAGACGAGCCTACAACAGTAGATCTCACAATGCATGTTTTACAGCCGTGTGCTGTACATATTGGTGACAAAAATATAATTGCAGCGTGCAAATAGGCTACAGACTATAAAAAGCCGTGTTAAAATGGAGCCTTTTTCAAAAGACATGAAGCCACAGACGATAAAACACAGATGAGACTGAGACATTGGCATGGCTGATGCCAGCATGTCAGTGAGGGCGATAGACCTTTTTGCTCCCTACACACATCCATACGGCATTTTGCATTTTTGATGTCTTCAGTACTGTTCTACATTGTAAAAATAGTACAAATGAGGAAAAACAATTGAATGAATAAATGTGTCCAGACTTGTAAGTTGTGTAACACTTGAATATTCTGATGTCACCCTGAATGTGTCACAGAGTTTAGATAAGGCAGTTCTGTAGATAGGTGAAACTGTGAGTTTGACGGCAGAAGTCTGCAGCACATTGTGTTTCATAATCACAAACATGGCATCACGGTGGTGCAGTGTTTAGCTAGCCGTTCACTGCATGTAGGTTCTGGCGAGAACCTGCTGATCAGCTGGAGCTTTTACGTGTGAAGTTTTCATGTTCTCCTCGTGTCTGTGTTAGCTGGTAATTCTAAACTGGTCGTAGACGTGAGCATAGATGCTAATCTGTCTTTGTGATATTCCTGCATAGTGACGGTGAACTTTCCTGTGTGTAACCCATCTCTTGCCCAGTGTCACCTGGGATACATGTTATTACTGTTTTTACTACGTATATGTTATTTTTGACCCACGTCATACCTTTATGGGGTAGTGATAAAAAAAACAAAAAAAAAAAACATTTTTCTGTGTAAAAATAAAAAGACATACGTGTTAAGGTGCATTAGTTGAAGAATTCATTAAATCCAGATATTATTAAATGTGCATAGAATGCAAAAATATTGACCAAAGTCATGAGCTCAACTCCCTTTTGACTGATGTTCTACATCAGAGAGTTGATAAACGATTGGAATTAGTAGGAATAGAAACACAGCCATTGTTTAGTAAATAAAACAAGCAAGAAAAACACCTACCTTGTATTTCTAGGTGCACGATGACTTGTCTTATTAAAGTGCCATCAGAACTGTGTTCTTCGAGCTCGTAATCTCCAGAGTGTATCTTCATGGCGTTAAGTAGTTTGAATTTTCCATTATGGGTGAGTTCAGACGGATCTACAAATTTGTCATCCAGTATCACGTTCCCAGTTTTCTCTCTTTTTAGAATCATGTATTTGCCATCCTTTGTCAGTCTAATTAAAGTATTTGTTTTATCTGACAGATGAAAAATCAGCGGCTGTCCTAGTGCTCCAAAACACTGACGAGTTCCGTGAGAATGTGAAAAATTGCATTCAGTTAACCCTAGAAGAAACAAAATATCGAAATGTTAATCCAATCACAAACTAAATTAAAAAAGGGGAAAACAAAATAAGAAACAAAAATACTGAATTAATATTTCTTCACTGAATCCACAGTACACCATACTGATACACTTGTATCTACCTTTCACCAGAGCTGTTGCCGCCAGAACTGCGATGATCATATAGATGACAGTCATTGT